TGATTTTCAAATAGAAACTAAACACGAATCAGTGTTTACTCATTCCTCTGCACCAACCAGTTTTGCACATCAACCACTCAAGATTGACTGAATTCACCGTTTCAAAATGTCTTTATTACTTTTATGCTTGGTGATAATCTTTCTTACTGTAGATACATTAACATAAAGTTGATCTATTATGCAAAATTCACATTTTTCTCAATCCCACAGCTCATAGACTTTGCATGGTATTTAAGGGGATAAATTCATTTGTAGACCTTTCACAATATGTGATAAAACAATTAATTGCATGATAAACTAAAATGAGTTTAATCATTTAAACTGGCATGATTTATCATTCTTCTCTTTCTACCAATAACTGGACAGCTCAAGTCTTCAGTCTTTTTGTTTTGAAGGACAGTTTTGCTTACAGAGACGTCATAACTCATTATATTTGTTGTTTCTGTTGTTTTGTTTAATTTTTGGATATTTAAAATGTCTTTCAGTTCCAGTGTTAAATGTTCAGTAGAGTTTAAAGTTTGTGGATCTTTGAGAATGTGTTGAAAATTGTCTCAAAACAACAATATTATCGTTTATCGCAATAACTTCTGGGGCAATTTATCGTCCAGAAAATGTTTTTATGATGACGGGCTCAGTCATTTGTTGGATTTTAGGCAGTAAAGCCACGAATTGTGTCAGATTTGATGACCCTTCTCGCGTGGATTGAATAATAATTTAGACGTTGAAGTAAGTCGGTGTGGTTTGGGCGTGTGGCTGCGATGCGCCGTCCTTTGGAGGTTTTCTGGTCGTTTTCAGCCAGGAACAGAAACCGGACCAAACCCAGAACCTGCTGGAGGGAATAAATCTTCTTTCTGGTTTGGGATGTCGGAGCTGATGGAGGATTTCTGGGTTTTTCTCCTGACCTCCTCATCTCTTTCCGTTTTTTAACTTGGAGACAAATAACTGGGATTTTTGTAGATTCCATCATTTTTCAATTGTATTTGTCTGTATTTTAAGTTGGGCACTTTGTTAAAACAGGTATTAGGTAATCTATTAATCGATTATTGAACTAACTAATTTAGCATCATATTTAAAGTGTCTGGTGAAAGAATCCATGCCTTTTTCCAGATTGTACCACATTAACGCAAACTTTAATCCTCGTTATTGTGGGGATGAAGCGATTAATCGACGTAATCATGACTAATCGAATATTGAAATAATCATCAACCAATTTAGTAATCGATTAATTAACTGGAGTTTACAGAACAACACACCCATAGCAGCAATCAAGCTTAACTGCAAAAAAACCTAAACATTTTGCGTTTAAGATAATAAAAAATATAAAGAAAATTCTCTGTAAATATGAATTCAAGTGGTAGTTTTAGCTTCATTTGATTCCAATTCTGTTAAAAAAATAAATACATTTTGTATTAAGCATCATTTTCTATTCACTTATCAACTGATCAAGAAAGTTAAATTTAGCGGCAGATGCATCCTTGGCTACAAATGATCAAGCATTTAGTAAAGGAATCCTGTTATTACATTTTAGGAACAAAAAGGTGTTTCATTATTTGTTCTTTTGCATATTTTAATATATTTCTAATAATGCAGAAGGAAGGATAGAGTAATTAATGAAAAATCTGCAAAAAGTGCCAATTTTCTTATCCGATTAATCGTTAGAATAATCGATTAATCGATTACTAAAATAATCGTTAGTTGCATCCCTACAGAGTATTAATCCAGCTTTTATCTGTGTAGCTTTGGGGATTTTCCAGCTCATGATCTGTTATTTCAGTTCACTGTTTTCACACTAAGTAGTAATAGAAAAATGAAAGGATGCTGGGATTATTGTTGCATAATATTTATATTTATTTGCTCGACTGGCATCAGGAAATTGAGTCTGTTGGGGCGTTTTCATACACGTATGTCCAGGTTTGTTTCCGACACATTCAGAAAATAAATATAACAATAGTTGAGGTGTGAAATTGTCGAATATCTGTCAGGGAAAGAATGTAAACAAAAGTAACACTTGATTCACATCAAAATGTGACTTTTAATGCAAAGAATCAAAACCTTCTTGCAAGGGAAATGGAAAAATGTTCCAATAAAATCACAAAATGTAGTTATTCTTCATTTATTTCATTATTTAATCTTTTCCACAGCTACCTAAAATATCTGTGATAACAGGAAATAACAGGGGGTATTAGAGAAAAGGAAAATAATAATAATAATCAGAAAATAGCTGTCAAAGTTAAAAGAAAATTAGTATCCCAACCCACGTATGTCAAACAATTCAAGTTTAGTTGTGACAACACGTGGTTTTATTCTGTTTTTCATTTTGTCCTAAATGTATCCATCTGTATGGTGACATTTTAGGGATGTAAAAGGGAAAAAAAGGAATAACATTTCGAGAAAAAAAACTCAGAAATACTGAGATTAATCTCAGAAAATATTTGGGCTTGAAAAGTTGAAAATTTGCAAGAAAATTCTCAGAAATTCAGGTTTTACTGTCAGAAATTTTCTAGAAAAAAATCTGAAATGTTTGATTCTGAAAACTTGCTAGAAAAAACTTTGAAATTCTGTGATTTAGAAAAAACTAGGAAAAATATCTGAAATTTCAGTTTTTTCTCAGAAAATTTCTGAAACTTCAAAATTTGAGCTTTTTCTCAGAATTTTTCTGCTATTTTGTCTTGTTTGTTTTCTTAAGTAGTTGTCATTTTGCAGATCCACATCCACGTTTGTCAGTCAGTTATATGTGTTTGGAATCCACTAATTAGCGAATACATTAGAAAAAAAAAATATTTTTTTAATTGTGAAACTTAAAAAAAGCAGTTTTGATGCTTTGAGGCAGACGCAGTACCTTGTTCTACACATTGGAGGCGACACAGTCCCTGGAAATGAGGATGGATTGAGGAGAAACGAGGGTATCGGTGTGATAGGTCCCCATCGGCAGAGCCGTGCTTCAGCGGTCGCTCTCCCTCACCTCTCCCCCTTCCTCTCTCTCTCTCTCTCTCTTTTCCTCTGTGCGTCGCCGCCGCTCGTTTTGCCGCGCTCTTGTTTCTGCTCCATCTCTGTGCAGAGAGCAATGAGTGCGGATTCACAGCCCATCCGGCGGCGCCTTGATTGGGCGAACGGGGACAGAGTTGAGGACCTGAGGGACTGAACACCTCTGGAAGGAGTCGGGTCGGGAATTCCAACAGGATCGCATGTCTTCCACTGGAGATTATTTTTGCATCACAAAAAAATAGAAAGGACAAAAAATAAATCGTGGCACTCTGAGTCGGCTGCACAAGAGGTGCCATTCACAGCGGTAATTTGAGTGATTGTGAGTGCACTCACCTTTTCAGCATGCAGATGCGTCCGATTCTTTTCTGATGCAAATGCAAAGCGGGCTGGTTGCAGCCGGTCGCTGTAATTCAGCTTGGCATGATCATAATGAAACACTCGATGAATTGGTGTGGAGTTCATGCATGCTGCTGTTCACACGCATTTGTGTTCCCTGAAAAAAAGAGGAAAAAAACAGAAATGTTGAATTATTCATGTCTTCAGGATGACAGACAACTTCCAAACTAGGTTATTTCCACCTCCTGTCTGAGGCTGGTCGCAGTGCGCTGCGTGTCTGTCATGCATGCGCTCCAACGTGTCAGGCTTTACGTTTGCAGACGGCTGGTTCTGGATGTTGAAGGTTAGACGGTTCAACGTTTCTGCCCATCTTTCTCTGCTTTTTCTCCCATTACGGTTGAGAACGAGGTTGTGACAGGTGTGAGTCTTCCCTTTGAGACTGATGTTTTTTTGCTGGAATGTGTTGTGAGGGTAAAAGAATGCGATGCCCGCATTCTTCCCTTCACCGTCTGCCCCGCTGAGCCAGCAGGAGCTACTGGTTTTAGTGGGAGTCCATTCACAGAACTGGACGGGTAAAGGGGGGGACGTGAAGCGGCCCCCGGAGGAGCGAAGGAGGGGAATCCGTGGGTGATTTAAACGCAGACGTCAGTTTACACGTGAACCAGCTGGTGGTACCATTAACACCCTGATGAATCTGGACAGATGATGAATCAGAGTGAAGCGTTTTCACTGGTTTTACTGGAACATCTCAGATTGTTGGGCTTTCACTGGTTTTACTTTGAAACCAACAAATGGTAGATTGGTGATGTTGTAGATAAAGGCCACCAAAAAAAATGTAAGAAAATTCTGACCTCAAACTCAGAATTTGCTTTATTTTCTAAGATTTTTTTAGTTTTTCTCAAAATTCTGAATTTTTATTCCCACAAATTCTTTTTTTTTTTTCTCAGAATTACGACTTTAGGCTAAGAAATCTTTCTTTACTCTCAGAATTGTCATTTCATCTCCAAATTCTGACTTTTCTACCTCAGAATTTAGACTTTAATCTAAGAAATCTGGTTTTAATCTCAAAATTCTGACTAATCTCAGAATTCTGACATTTTACCTACAAACTTTGACTTTTTTTCTCCACATTTTGTCTTTAATCTCAGTATTCTGACATTTTTTTCCCTGACTTTTTCAAAATTTTGACAAAAAGCTGGGAAATCTGGGTTTCCTGTCAAACTTTTGACCTTTTTATCAGAAATCTGACTTTATTCTCAAAATTCTGACTTTTATCTAGGAAATCTCGCTGTACTCTCAGAATTCAGGCTTTAATCTAACAAATGTGGCTTTACTCTCGAAATTGTGACTTTTCTCCCCTAAATTCAGACTTTTGTGTCAATCTTTATTAAAATCCAAATAAATAACCAAAAATTATTAGGTGTATGTCCTTTATGCGATTAAGGTAATCACATAACCTTTTGTTCTCCATCATAGGATTTGTAAACCTGCACTTTCCTTTGCACTTTTAATCTATTTCTAAAAAAGTTTAGGAAATTAAATGAAAAAAACTGCAGAATTTTATCTGATTTCTGGTTGTTTGTTGGTTTCATCCCATCTTCCAGCCAAATACTGATGTAATAATATCTGACAGTCGTTTTATCGTTCTGGTTCTGATGGCCGACATGTTTTGCTTCCAGGAGGTGTGATCGATAAGGACCTCCGCCGGTACCTCAACCTGCGCTTCCAGAAAGGCTCAGTGGATCACGAGCTGCAGCAGATCATCCGGGACAACCTGTACCTCCGGACCGTCCCCTGTGAGTCGCTTTCATTCGCTCAGACGTTTCGTTTTGCTTGTGGTGTTTAAAGAGAGTTGGTGGAATCTTGTGGAGATTCGTGCTGGTTTGTTCTTTAGCCTCAGAATAAAAATAAACCAAAAATTTGTGGTGGGTAATTTTGGTCCATTTGCTGAATCCTTCAGGTTTACGGTGCAATTGATCAAATTTTTGATATTTGAGGATTTCAGTTTTGGAAAATGAGGATTTGAACCACTTGGGTTTCCGTAGTTCAGAGTGACATCTTATTTGACAGACTTCTCCTTATTTGGACTTTGATTGTAGGTTGTCTCTTGGGCAGAAAATTAGAGCCAGGCTGCGATTTCTAAATGGTTTGATTCTCAGAATAAAGCCACAATATTACAAAAATAGTCGAGAATGAAGTCATGTGAAAATAAGTTTGAAATAATTAGAGAAGAAAGGGTTAAAATTACAAGAATTAAGTAATAATTTAATGAGAACTCCTAAATAAAAAATACTTATAACTCATCAGCATCAAATTATTTTCTTCTAGTAAAATTGTCTTTATTTTGCTAATATTGTGACTATTATTGTAATTAATCAAAAATTCTCGTAGCGTTCAACTCGCTATTTTCAAAAAGACACTGCTGAAAATATTTTCTATACTTTTAGTTTTTTAGAAAAGAAATCAGATCTGGTGTGAAAAAATCAGGATATTTTCATAGATCTCCATACTGCTGTCTCTTTACTTTTGTAATTTTTCAACATTTTGCAGCTTAAACCAGTCAGTTTAACCACTGAATCTCACAGTTTCTAATCTCATGTATTTGAGTAACGTCTCTGCTTCTGAAGTGGCTTTTTAGTGAAACGACCAGTGTGTAAGTTGGACTCTAAAATCCAGTGTTTACTCCGATTCTCCTCTAATTAGCTGCATTACGAGCCTTAGAGGAGCTTCTGCTGTTCCTCAGTTTAATGTTGACCATCAGAGATGAAACCAGGAGTCTGAAGCTTTGAAGGTTGGGTTCGCTTTTGTATCGCATTTCGCAACAAGGCAGTTCAAAATCATAAAAACATCATAAAATCACCAATTATGATACAAGTAATAAACATTATATTTTGTCAAAATCATCAATACACATCAAATATATTGATCACTGATCCAGTTACCGCTCATCAAAAGCAGCTCTAAGCAGGTGGGGTAGAAGTTTTGACTTAAAGGAAGTCAGTGTTTCGGCTGTTTTGCTGTTTTCTGGAAGTTTGTTCCAGATTTGTGGCGCATAGAAGCTGAATGCTGTATTTTTGCGTTAAGCTGTTCAGTGATTTATAAACTCACAGAAGTATTTTAAAGTCTATTTTCAGAGCTACGAGGATCCACTGTAAGGACTTTAAAGTCGACATGTGATGTAAAATTTGCTTTTTCTCCTTCCTTTTGAGTTTCTACTGAAGACAGGCCAAGCACTAAATAAACAATAAATTAATGCTTGGAAAATGAGCCATTTCAAAACCTCCGGAATGTAACGTCACAATAGAACAGGCACTGCCCGTTACCTAGCAACCCCAGAAGAGCCCAGCCCGTTACCTAGCAACCCGAGCAGAGTTCCAGCACGTTGTATGTGCTGTACAATGGCTGGTGGAAGAGTGAAAGTGTTTTCTTGACTTACCATCAAGAAACCACTTGCTGCATTCATATTGGTTGCGCAGGAGGCTCCACTTTTGCTCTTCAATGATGTACAGTTGTACATCATTGTTTGCAGCCATTTTCATGTGTGAGTGTAAATGTTGAGTTGGGGGCATAGCAAACATGTCCTGTTTAGCCCATAGACCTATCCTAACCTGTTCAAGGAAGCTTAATATGTCACCTTTTATCCTGGAGTGATGTGCTCCATCTTCCTGGTTGTAGTGAGAACTGGAGCATGATTGATCAGCTGCAACTTTCTGGTTGACTTTTTGGGCAGTCCTGTGATCTATTAATCAATGCAACTATAGACGCATAGATAAGTTTCTCTAGATCTTATTGAAATCTAGAAATGTTCTTCAGGTGATGGAAGGCTGACTTTGTAACTGTCTTTATGTGTCTCTGAATGCTCAGGTCCATCATTACACCCAGATTTCAACCCTGATCACTAGTTTTTAGTTGTATTAAGGCACATTGTGCTACTTTTTCTTCTGGAATGTAGCAAAAACTTGTTGTTTCCTTTTAATTTTGCATCATTCATAAAAACGAGTTCCAGAAAATGGACTTGGATGAAGCGCCTCTGTCAAAGTGATAAAGAAATGGCCACATTTAAGACAACTGAGCGATAAATAAAAGGAAGAAAAGGGACAAGAAAGAAGAAATTCTGCGTGATGGATGTGAAGCAGTTCATCACAGCAATTTAAACATAACCTTTGAGTGGTAAAGAAAAGACATTTTTCTCTGGGCTGGAGGCTGATGCGCAGACAGCGGGAGAGTTACCGCTCCTCATACCAATCGAGACGCTCGGACCGGGCCGGGTTGGGCCCGCTTAGGCCGTGCCAGCTCTTAGACAAATCCAAGGTCAGAGCGTTAATAGTCCGAGCCCTGCGAAATCAGCCCTATCATCTGGTAATCCACACAGATTTGATGGTGGAGATAAAGACACCTAAGATCGCAGCACACGCCCAGCAATGGGGGTAAATCTGAACCAGGAGGAAAAGGCCAATTAATGACAGATTTTTATCAACTGAGCTGTAATTACAAAACCTCACAAGCAAGTGGACCATTTTTGAAAAGCATCTCATGTTTTCCCACAAACAAAATGTCCTCCGAGTGTTTTTTCCACATAAATAAAAAAAAAGAAACAGCATGAAGGTTATCTGGATTTTCTGGCTCATTTGCTAAAAGCTAAGCTCTCTTGAGCACTCAGTGTCTTTGAGTCGGTTTTTCATTCACATTAACGCTCAGAAGCTCTTACCATTCCCACCCTGCGCCTCACCTCTCTGCTTAGTGGACACAGAAAAGCTCTAGGTGGAGGAAGGACGTCTTTTAAAAAATAATGCAGCACTTCTTTGACCTTCTGATGATCTGCTCTGCTTTAACTTTTTCTGTTCTCTGGGTCAAATTAAAGCTTTTATGTTGAATGTCACTAATTAATGATTCTGATTATATTTTGGTTCAAAATGAGCTAAGATTTAAACAGATTTGTGGTCTAAGTAAAGCACTTTCAAGGTCACTTTCTAACTTATGTGCTTCTGTTTCATGAATAAAAAAATAACATATTTGTTATAAAAGAAGATACCCGAGTAATTAAATGAACCTATTTTGCTTAAAATTATTATAAACATTCAACTTTAACTGGTCTTGTTCATTTAAAGTATTTATCTGATAAATATGAGTTTATCCTAAAAACGTAAAAACCGATCCACCAATATTTGTAAACCGTTCACACATGATTGTGTTCGTGTTTAATTACTAGTATGAACGACCACATTCAGCACAAATCAAACTCTGATCATCGATATCTGTTGAAAGCAGATATCACTCAGTACAGCATTAAGCTTGTATCATCCATTCACAAATTAATGCTTAAGTTAATCAACCTGTCCATAATTCCTGGTTTTATCGTTTTGATGCCTCTGCATGTTTGGCTGCATAAAGTCTTCAGCTGGCCGCTGGCTGTCATTGGCTCCACTGTGTCCTCACTACACGTCTGTGCTCCAGTTTAACGGCCCTCTCTGATAGATGACGGCGTTAATCAGGATAATAAATAGACTAAGAGCTCTCTGCTGCCCTACAATTTGTCCTGTAGCATCTCTGTGATGGAGCCAATGAATGTTACAGGGGTGAACCTTAATAGGAGGTGATGCGGACCAAAAATCAGGGGAAAAGCCGCGGTTAGAAGGCAAAACAGGTTAATTTAAATTCATCTTGATGCCACAACAGAAGTGATGAAAAAGTGTTAATGTATGTAGCAGTATATCTCTCCCCTCCCTCACCTGTTGCTGAGCTGTCAGTCAGATGCTTATGAAAAAGAGGGGAATAAAAAAAGTCATAAATGTTCACGGCTGACTGGAGCTGCAAAGCCCTTTTTAGGAATGAGTAAGACACTTTCAAAGTTTCTTAAAACTTTTCTATTTTCCTTCTCGACCCCATCAAGGCTATGCAATTTTATTCTTGGGATGCATTCACACCAGATTAGTTTGTTTAGTCCAAACAAACTAGATTTATTTGGTGCAAATCTAGCTTGTGAGTCCGGTTCGTTTGGGGGAGATGTGAATGCGTAATCAAACTCTGGTCTGCCTAAAACTTCGGTCACAATTCGGTTTAAGTGAACTTGAATGCATATGAATGGTGAGCGGACTGGAGGCCACTCCAGAAGAGGGAAGTGGACTACAGCGCAGGGCATTCTGGGTAAATACAATCAAAACAAATGTGCTAGCTTAGCGCTAGCAAGCCAAATGACTCGTGGGCTTTTGCCAAAGACACAACCGCTAAAATCTGATGCTAATCCGTTTTTGTTTACATTTTGTGAAGAAGAGAAGTTGCACTCAGTGTTGCTTCCTTTAGTAGTTCTTGATCCAGCGCCACCACAGGTGAGGAGGGGAACAGGTTTTTAAAATTGTTTGGTTCGTTTGACACATAGCAGTGTGAAACCAAACCACATCAGCTGAAAATGTAACAAAAGTTGCAATTTTGGTCCCAAATCGAACAGATAACCAGAATATATGTGAGAACCTCCTAAGATAAAATGGTTTCTAGGCACCAGAAGGTTTTTACAATGCTGAAGTTGCAGTTAATTTAAATGCAAAATGTACCAACAAAAATAAATGGTGCTCCTGGATTGGCTGT